AAGTTTGAATTTTTTCAAAGGTGGCTATTATTTTTATACAATAAAGAGCCATTTTGAAGGTTGTAGTACTGTCTGTTGGACTGTCTGTAGGATGGTCCGTTGGATTGTCTTTAGGACTGTTTGTAGCCTTTTGTTTATAGAAAATGAGAAGTGTACACTCTTTTTTGTAACACTTGGACCATAGGCGTAGCTAAGAGCGACAGAGGGGGGGGGCAGATGTCCCTGGGCGTCAAACTAGTTAGTTGCGCCAAAATGTTCTTTGATATTATTGTTTTTGATGAAAATAATGGATTCAAGAGTTGATAAAAAAAAAGGTTAATTCTTTAAAATGAATCTCGTCCCAGGGCGCCCAACAGCTCTCTACGAACGCCTCTGACTTGGAACAAACCGGTCATTTTCTCAAAAAAATATCCGGACTCGGGTGTAAAAGACTGTACCCGGTTAAGCCCTGGTTTATAACAACATTTCATTTATGAATGCTGGAAGTGAGTGTGGTGGAAGTATGTGAAACAGCGAAGCCTTTTAATTTGAGAACCCTTGGACTGGAGCATCTTTTTTTTTTTCTCTCGTGCTCCTTGTAAAAGTCGCGTCCGTGATTAAATCGTATGCTCGTATGTAGGGTGCACTAACCACCCCACCCCTGTGCTCCTTGTAAAAGTCGCGTCCGTGATTAAATCGTATGCTCGTATGTAGAGTGCACTAACCCCCCCCCCCTCCTCCGACGGCTATTTGCACGTCTTTGGTGACGGACATGAGTACACCGCTAATCACCCATGTGAAATGCTGTAAGCTTGCACACTTGTTATCAGATGATGGCGCGCATGCCCTTGCGGACGACAGCGAGTACCTGGGTGCACCATTAAGTGCGATGCATAATTGATGGCCTCTGAGCGGGCCCCTGTCGGCTGATTGGAGCTGGAGTGATGCTTCTTCCACTGGCATGCGGCAAAACATTTTAAATCACGTGGGCGTGCCAGGCGTCGACGTTTAGTTTCAAAATCCTTGAATTTACATTATGAGTGTGGGGGAAAACAATTGAGAATTTGGTTGCGTTATTTGATATTGCGAAACCATACAAAAAAAATGTTGTTTTTTTTTTTTATTGGGGCTACTTGTATTTATTTAGAAACAAAAGACACAACTTTAAAAGGTTTACTCGAAATCCAAATATTTCATTAAAGGACCCGTAAAAACAAAGGTTTTCGTATAAATTCCTTTAAAAAAAATTCAAACTTTGGCAATAAAATTTGAGAAAACTGGCACATCAGTAACACACTTTATAAGATATCAATTAGTGCTCCCATCAACCCCACCCCCCCCCCTTTTTTTTTTTCCTAGTCTCGTAACCACTCCACCCGTCAAGGTTCCCAACCACATATTTTTAACCCCAAATGAACTTTATCTATATTTTATTGACCAAACCCACTGTTACACAGTAAATTTATTTCACCAACCTTTTACAAAAAAAAAAATATTACGTACCAAACACATATTGCGCAGTTATTGGAGATTTTATTTTATCTTCCATTTGAAAAACAGGAAAAACTGATTTTAGGGCTTTGGGGGACGCCCCTGTCCTCTGCACACCCCCCCCTCTGCCCGCCCCGGCATCCGCACGCCTTTGTACGCCCACCTTACGGTTCCATTTAGTGATGTATGGGAGTCAACATCGCAAATCTTTCAATCAGTTCATTAGCCGCAGTGATTCTCTTCATTGTACTTTTACCAGACTGGACGCCCCCCAAGGGTCTGCAATATCCGATACCATTTGGTGGTCACCACCACTAAAACGTTGGGAAATGTGACAGTCTCGTTTTGAGTGATAATTGTGTGTGTGTGTGTTTATCGTTGTTTCTTACATTGATTTTTATTACAGATAGTATTCGTCATGTGTCCTCTGGGTCGTGAATTTGCTGATAGTTGTCATGAATTGTAACATACTAGGGCTTAACCGGGGGCCATTTTTTTTACACGAAGTCCGGGTATTTTGAGAAAACACACGTTTGGGTCCAAGGGCGAAAATAATGAAAGTGAACTTATAATTTTCTCTTACGAGTGACGGCCTTTACACCATTGGCCTACAGACAGGTTCACACCCTACCTGCCTGCCTTGAAACAAAAGTCCTAAGACCGTCCTAAGACAGTCCTAAGACAGTCCTAAGACAGTCCTAAGACAGTCCTATAGACAGTCCTACACCATACCCATGCCTCTTTATTGATTAATATAATAGTTCCCCATAGAAAGAGAGAAAAAAATTCAACATTTTTACTGTGTTGTTACGCAACCTGTCCAGATTTCTCTAATAGTTACACTTGAAAGTGACAGACTCCTGTCCAGATTTCTCTCATAATTACCACTAAGCCTGGAATACTCCCGTCGACATTTCCCTCTCAGAGCCGCGGCTAAAACTGGCAGACTCACTTTCATGGCTACCACCCCCCCCCCCCCCAGAATAGACTAATCAATTTGCTTGCCTCGGGTCATCGATCTTTTTACCTTGATATAGTCCCAGCAGTATGAAAACATCCTGGGCGATTACCTACCTTGGTTTTTTTTTTATATAAAAAACAGTTATTACATTCTATTCCTGAACCATTAAAGCATGCCAGTTCTATTTTTAAAAAAAATAATAATAACTATGTTCCCGAGTTATCCTCAGTGCAGTTATAGGGACAAAAAGGACAGTTTAAAAAAAAAACAGTTTTATAATAAATAGTTTTTAATGAAAATATATTTTTTAATGATTTGTGTAAAAAAAATTCTCTTTTAGCTTTATTCTGACAGAGTTTATTAATGTCTTATATATTTTATTCACTTTGGAAAATGGGCTGACCGACACTGATGCATGTGTATATTTTTAATTTGAAAAAAAAAATCTATTATAATTCAGCATCTTCTTTTTCACACATTATAGTTAAAGCTATGTCATATCTAGAGAATTATCCCTTGGAGCCATCTAAAAACGCATGCTATTAAATTCATCATCATCAGCATGTCCCTTAGTTCTTGGACCGTTGGGGCACCACAGATGACATGTGAACCATCCTCCTCCATTCGACTCTGTCGTCTGCACCGCGCACAGCATCGCCCAGTGTTAGTCCTGTCCACTCTTTGATATTATCCTCCCATCTTTTTCTTTGTCTTCCTCTTCTTCTGCCTCCTCTTGCGGTGCCCTGCAATAATGCATTGGCAAGCCCTTGTTTCCTTGTTACGTGGCCGTACCATTGTAGTTTGCGTTTTTTCACAGTCCCCAGTAGGTCATCGTACTCCCCAATTGCCTGGCGAACCCTTTCTTTCACTGTATCATTGGAGATATCGTCTCTATAGCAGAAGCCAAAAATGCTTCTGAAGCATCTCATCTCCATCGCCTTTATTTTCCTTTCAAGATCTGCTGTTAATGTCCAGGATTCGCAGGCATACAGGAAAATGGAGAGGACTAATGAGCACATCAGCCTGATTTTGGTGCTGGGGGCTATATTTTTGTCATTCCATATTTTCTTGAGCCTCTTTAGTGCTGTTGTAGTCTGCGCAATCCTGGACATCAGTTCGGGCTTGGAGCCTTCTTCTGAGACTATTGCTCCTAGCTATTTGAAGCCGCCTAATAGCAAATTACGCAAATCCTTATAATCAATATTGTAGCTAAGGTTAGTGCCGCCCGGGGTGTGACAAGGCTTTTGACACCCCCTTCCATGAACTATTCGTTGGCTGGATAAAAGGAAAAAAAAAGGTGCGCGCCCCCCCCCCCTCCGCATCCACTTTTCTACGCCACTGCTTGGAAGACCGAGGAGACCAACGATCAAAGCCGAGGATCAATGAAGTCGTCACGGTGCCACTGAACGTAACGAAAACCCGAGGTTCATGTTGTTAAAGTAGTTGGTCCACTTGTCACATTGATCAACGGTTTTTTAATGAAATACTCATTTAATGCTCGAGCATTTCCCGGAATGCCAGGTCGCGACGCAATGTCGGCCAACGGAAACAAAAATTACCAGATGACCGAAAAAGGAAAAAAAAAAAAAGTCTCTTGTAAATGTGTCAAATGCATTCTTCCGTTTTCGCGAGGTTTAGGGGTAGCTGTTGACACTTGGTAATCAAATGGATTACGTGGCCGATCGTGGAATGGCAGACTCGGCTGCATTTCTCGCAGGAGACCATTGATTCCTGATTAAATTTGCCCCCCCCCCGTAATTGCTCCTTTTGCTGCAAGGGTTTCGTTACTCAAATCTTCTGTCGTTTGACTCCTTCATACACTATAAACAAAGTATCACATTTTGTTTCTTTGTGATTTCATGTGTAAAAAATGATGGTATTGGTCTTTGAGATAAAAAATAAAATTATTTAAAAAAAAAAAAAAACTATTGTAATTACTGGACCAGACTGATATAAAAAGAAAACAATATTTTTGCGATGCATCGTCAATATGTTGCAACTGAATCATAGACATTTTTTTTACAAATGTTATATAATTTTAATATGGACGTGTGATCATTTCATTGAGAACCTTTTTAAAGTATTTACAAAAATCAATGTTACTATTTTAAAAAAAAAAACGAGTTTTATGATTGTGGCTATTAATGGCTTTCGCCACAGATATTATTTGAGAACCGTTTTTCATCAATCTTCATCTTTGTCCCCTTAAAACATTTCCAAGACTAATCCAATATTTTAAATACTGCCATCAAGTCTGTCATTTGTTTGATTTAAAAAAAAAAAAAAATAAGCCATCAAAATAAATGAAAGGTGTTTTGAACCACGCAACCACACGCGTGTGGTGCTGCGTGTGGTGAAGATTAATGGGTGCTACATGATGCGGCACAAATCATATGCATGCGCACCGGATAAACCACACAATAGAACACACGTGCGCACCGGACAAAGTACACTATACAGCACACGTGCACATCAGACAAAGCGCACAATGCAACACGCGTCCACGCCTGACAAAGCACAATACCAACACACGTGCACACAAGACAGACCACACAATACAACACACGTGCAGCTGTAGTACTTTTTAATGACTGTTCGGGAATACAAAATGAACCATGGTGTGCATACCTTGGACCCCCTTGAAGGTCTCCCTTTTTGATCACAGCTTTCACCCTATGGTTATGATTTTATCCTATGATTTTATCCTATGATTTTATCCTATGATGTAATCGTGGTTTCTATTGACCTCCAGCACCAGCCCGTCTCCCGGCGCCAAACTCAGGGCGTGCAGATCCACAGAAACGCCCTCCTTGACGCCCCTCGTACCTAGTGAACGTAAAAGAAGTAAGTCAGTAACAAAATCTACAAAAGTTGAACTTGACCTGAGAGAAATCAACTCTTTCACATAGTGATCATCGGACGTAAACAGAGAACGACGCTATTCTCTGTATGTTAGCTTAAATTATATATTAGTCTTAATAATAAAAAGAAAAGAAATTTAAAAAAAAGTGTGTTTTTTTGTAAAAATTCTTCGTATGCATCTTCATTTTCATTTATGTAATTGTACGTGATTTATCATGAATGTGATTGCGGGCACCGATTTTTTTTTTTCATAAGAAAATTGTTTTTATCAAACCAAGTTCTTGTAAAAATTATCACGAAAACACGTTTCATATTTCTGTCATTTCCCCATCAAGAACAAACTCTAGTGCTTTTCGCCCAACCTTATGGATTTGCCCCGAAACGTTTTTTCTGCATCATTGTGCGACGTGGCCATGGTTACAATTCTTTAAAAAAAAAAAAAAAATATTGCGTCATATTCCCTTCATCTCCCGTTTGAAAAAATAGCAAAAAAAGCTTAATTTGGAGGGCTGGGGGCTGATAATTTGAAAAAAAATGTGTTGTCATCGGCAACATGTCTATGTGACAAGTTTCAGCTCGATAGCGTGACGGCAAGTGGGGCCGTTGGCCTTCCGAAGATTTCGCCACACAGAGAGACACGAAAAAAAAAAGCGAAGTTAATAAAAAGGGTTTTTAAAATAAAAGGAATTGCACCCATATCGGCTTCAGAAGTTGTTTTAGCTCTAATTATGTGACGTAGAAAACATAGATGGGTTATACTGCAAAGCAATCGACTCAATATAAATGTCCATACTCTTGTGAAAATCAAAATGCAATTAAATATGATCAATTCTGATTATTTCATTATTTTATATTGATTTGTCTTTATAAATGTAATTTTGTATTTACCTTTGATTACTGACCCGTAGGTAACGCTGGGTGGTTGGATTTCCAGAAACGATGAAGAAATTGATAACCCTTGCGAGTCAATATTAGAGCAATGAAGTTACCTATGATTTTCAAACTATCCAGTTAATTTTGGTGTACATGGATACATACAAGTCAGTGGCTATCTCGACCAGTACGTACCTGGCGTAACGGCTACTGGTGTGCCTGCATCACCCGCGTACCGGCTGAGATCGACGATGGTGTCCCGACCGACGTTCAGTACGACCAGGTAGGCTTTGGTGGCGCCTATGCGCAGGTAGGCCAGGATGTCGTCGTTGGCAAGGGCGGCCTGGGGGGCGGGGGGGGGGGAGGGGGGCATAGGTGTTCATTAAGATTTAATTGATGGCGTGGGTCCTTTAAGCATTATAGGTCTTATAGGTAAAAATAGAATGTATCGGGTACAAGCAATATTCAATAGTGGCTGGTGTGACTGTTACTTAGAGGATTGTGTACAAAAGTGTCTGTATTTAAATAATCTCTTATCTTTAGTCTACTTAGCATAATATATTTAGTAATCTCCAGTCTAGTTAGCCTCTATTTAATAATCTCTAGTCTAGTTCGCCTCTATTAAATAATCTGTAGTCTAGTTAGCCTCTATCAAATAATTTCTAGTCTAGTTAGCCTCTATTAAATAATCTCTTATCTAGTTAGCCTCTATTAAATGATCTCTAATATCTAGTCTAGTTAGCATCTATTAAATGATCTCTAATATCTAGTCTAGTTAGCCTCTATTAAATGATCTCTAATCTCTAGTCTAGTTAGTCTCTATCAAATAATCTCTAGTCTAGTTAGCATCTATGACATAATCTCTAGTCTAGTTAGCATCTATGACATAATCTCTAGTCTAGTGAGCATCTCCTAATTCATCTGCAGTCTAGTTAGCCTCTGGTATCAAATATTGAGTCCAATTAGCATCTAAAGCATAATTCCATAGAAATAAAATAAAAACCCTCGCCTGATTGTGAGCATCAAAGGTAGCGTATTTAAAAAAAAAAAAACAGCTGATATTTTACTCCAGCCCCGAGGCCATGCATCAGAAACTACCACATTAACGATGATAAGAGGGACCGCGAACGAATTCACTGGAAATACCTTGAAAACACCGGTCTGAAAGGCTTGGCTCTTCCTCAGACGTGCGAGCTGCCGGTACAGTTTGAGACTTGTTTGTTCAGAACTGCTGTTTTCAACCTGTGACGGGTGAAATAAAAACAAAAAAGAATGTGCTGTGAAACTGCCGTGAAACTGCTGTGAAAGTGCTGTGAAAGTGCTGTGAAAGTACTCCAATGCTGTTATCAATACGGCAAGCAGTTTTTAGTGATACTTTATCTTTGTGCTCCATTTTAACAAAAAAAAGTCTTCTTTGGTTGGATTTCCCTGTAAAAAGCATCTATTATGGGTGTCAGCGACATGTTGCCTTAGCAACCTCGCTCATGCTTCAATGACGGCATGAGAGAGGCCCATTTTGGAATCGGTGTCGTATTCGTAGTTGTAAAACGATGTCTGTGATATCGTTTTATTTTGCTAAACCTATTGGTATTTTAAGATGGCGTTGAGCCTCAAAGCACGGTGTATCATTGTGCAATTACTCCTACAAAAGTAAAGTCGTAATATCTTTTTTTTACAAAATCTGAATGCGGGATAACAGTCGTTGGTGGTGTGTAAAATGTTTCTCTGTTGCCAAACAAAAACCGAACGGACATACTAGACATTTGTGGAAAGGCGAAGATAATATATTGCTGACCTTGACATTGAGCTGTGTGTAGTTCTCCGCCAGCGGAAGCCATGTTGTGTTTCCGGTGGTAAAGCCAGCCTGGTAGCCGTCGGTCCACTGCATGGGGGTCCTCTCGGGGTCCCTCGTGAACTGTTTGTAGCGGAGCTGAAAGTGGGAATATTTCACAACGCCATGAATTTTTTTCAGGCACTTAGTCTTCACATGTGTAAAACTCTAGATGGAATTGATGCAACTAAAACCTCTATTGAAATTCATTTGCAGATATCAAATCAGTTTAAAAGTTTTGACCGAAAATCGTGAAAAAAAAAACGTGAGGGTGGACCAGCAGGTGCAACATTGCCTCGAAACACCTGTCAGCCCCTGCACACCTTGACATGAAACAGCTTCCTGATAAAATTAATTAAGTTTCGAACTGACCGGCCCGGCTCCAAGACCCTGAGGGTCAACCGTGTCCTCCCACGATATCTCCGCCTCCAGCATCCCTAGCTCCTCCCCGTAGTAGGTGGTGGGCGTCCCCCATAGCGTCAGCAGCAACGTATTGTACACGTTCACGTACTCGGCGCCATACTTATGGCTGATGCGGCGGTTGTCATGGTTACCGAGCTGGATTTGGAGGGAAAAAAATAGGAAAAAAGAATCATTCATTCAGTGCCGAAAGTTGAAGCATTTCTGTCCGACACTAAGGCCTACACTCCTCTGTCCGACATTCTGTCCCACGTTCTGTCTGACACTCGGACCGACACTCCTCTGGCCGAAACTGGTGGAAAAAACCTTATCGCAAAAAATGAAGGGATACATTGTGTACGTCATTCTTGTAATGCAAATAATTCAATTATTTTGAACGCTTTACAGAAGTAAAAAGGTTCTGATTTCAACATTTCACCATAGCACACCATCCCGGAACCTCTCAGCTTCTTTTCGTGGCTGCAATAAAATTATTTTTTTATATTTCATGAACATTTACAAGTTGGCTTCACGCCTGCGAGGAAATTATGGTTTCGAAAAAGTCGATCTAGGGTTGTTAAAAAGTTGAAGGTGTTGATAAAGCTGTCTGTCAATAAAGACGAAATGAAAGATGATTTATATTTTTGAATACGGAGTCCTTTAACGGTAAATCATCGTCTCAAAATTAGGATTATGTGATTGGGGGGGGGGGGGGGGGGGGGGAGGAATGGAAGGGCAGTATCCTAAAATTCTAAAAATAAGGAAGTGATCTCAAGCCTTTTAAAAAAGAAACCAAAAAAAAAAAAATGGAAATGTTGGTAAGAAATGTGGACGATATCTGATCTCATTACGTCGTGATCAAGGTATCGATACAATCTTAATCCAGTTACTGTGTCCGTTCACTTTGTCCCGCCAGGCTGGTCACGTGTCCTGTGGGGAGGTTTTTGAAGGACAGTTTATAGGGGCGAGGTGTAACACCGACGGGACACAAATGATGATGGATGATACGACAATGTCATCATAGAGTTCCACATGAAGTCAACGAAAAATTATGTAGACATGCCATCTATTGTTAAGTTTTTTTTAGAACAGCGGTTCTCAACCTATGGGTCGCGAGCTCTTGGGGGATCGAATGACGCTAACACAGGAGTCGCCTAAGACCATCGCGAAACAAATATTTATGCAACGAAATTAAGGGTATGGTATTTGGGTTCACCACGTTATCGGGAACTGTATTAAAGGGTCGAGGCATTACGAAGTCAAAACCCACTTTTTTTTTTTTTTTTTTTTACAAAGAAACAAAATTTGAACGGCAATTATTTACATGATTCGCCTTACACGCGCGAAAAAAACTTCAGAATGAATGTGTCAGGTGAAATCAAATGTACAGTTATAACTCTCGCACATGCACGCACACTCAGTTGCACACACACACACAAAGGAGATGGTAAACAATTTCGGCAGTGAGAAACTTGTCCCCCATCAAGTAGTCCGACGAAATGTAAACAGAACCACAGCGCTTGTAGCTGCTGAGAAAAGGCGTTTAAACACCATCACCGCGTTTAGTTAAGTCATAAGACCGGACAGCTCCCTGGGGCGGTGAGGAGTGGTAACGCAACGCCACCTCTCCGGAGAGGAAGTAAAGCCGTCCTGACCCATAGGAGAGCGGGCTACGGACGCTTTAAACGCAGCCCCCTCGGACGCCCCTCGATAGGGAAGGGGGGGGGAGTCCCTGGCGCGCTTCTGCACGGTCTGGAGCTTCGGCTTTGGCCCGTTTGGGGGAGTGCCGGAGAGGGTATTATGAGTGCGAACTCGACGACCCACCGACACCATCTCCAACGAAACGTTATCAGTTAAGTCATACTGTTGGCCAGAAAAAATAGCGAGTCTCGTTATTGTTGTTTGTTGATGAAATGCATTTTTGAAACGGTGTGCCACAGGCGGTCGCACAAAAAACAAAACAAAACAACAACAACACATCCAATAGAAAAATGTAAATAACTTTTTTACAATTTCACTGAAGCGCTGACATGATCCTAAAGGTAATTCTTCTCAACTTTCTCTTAAGAAAATTGAAAAGTAAATGATGATAACACTCACCACGAAGTTGGGCCACCTGCCGGTGGGCAGCTCGTCGTACTCGCTCATGACCATGTGGAGGATCTCTTGACCCGTGGGCTTGGCGCTCATGGACAGCAGGTCGAAGTTGAAAGGGCTCGCGCCCGTGACGTAGAGTCTGTTCCTGACCTGCGGCGTGGCGTAGATCTCCACCACCATGTACCTAAAGGGGGAGGAGGAAGGGGGTGGCATGAAGAAGGCGTTTTAATACACACGGAGATGATGACGTCATCGGATTTTTTTTAATAATGCAAACGATACTGATGACGTCATTGAGTAGGTTTTTATAAAAAAGGGGTGCTGACGATGTCTTTACGAATGTTTTAATACTATCGGTACTGATGACGTAATGAAGAGGGGTTTTATTAAAATTTGTACTGATGGCATAATTAACAGAATGTTAATACAAAAAAAAAATACTGATCAATTCATTAAGAGGGTTCAATACAAACGTTTCCGATGACGTCATTAAGGGGGGGGGGTCTTAATACAAACACTATTGATCTGCCGCTCGCTGTGTACAGGGGGGTCAAAGTAAATTCCTAACTGCTAGAAACGTTGAATTCACCAATCAATACTGTCCACATCCTCCCTCCCCTCCCCCCAGCCCCCCCCTGCATCCCCCAAATTAAAAGTACTTCGTCAATCGTGCACTTCAACTTTTAATGTGCTTGGCAGCGCGTAAAATCGTTCCGTAACATGGTCAATTGAAAACGCGTCATGTGGAACGCTTTAACTTGAAATTGAAATCAAATTTGCTGTCTCTGGAGTCTAGAGTACCACATTTGTTTGTTAAATACTTTTTTTTGTGTTTAGAATCCTCGGCCACCGGGGGGGGGGGGTGGGAGGAGGAGAGAGAGCGGGTGTTGCTGAATGTTAAAACATCACACAAGACCATATCACGGAATTCTCTTAAATATTTAATGGCTTACGGTTATTTGGGAATCTGAAAACTCACGGATCAATCAAAACTGTTTGGATTAAAGACATTTAATTTAACTGCCATAGTTTAACTTTCAAAGCCAGCGGTTCTCAACCTGCGGGTCACGACACCTTTGAGAGGTTGAACGACCCATTCACAGGGGTCGCCTAAGGCCATCTGAAAACACATAAACTCCAGAGTTATGAAGCAGCAACGAAAAGAGTTGTGTGGTTGGGGGCTCGCCACAACACGAGGAACTGTATTATAGGGTCGCGGAATTATGAAGATTGAGCCAATGTTCTTCAAACTCATTATCGTCACAGAGGCCACTTTCAGTTGGGAGTTCGAGCATTGAGACGGAAAGCCATGGATCGCTCCGAGTTGAAGGATGTGGTGGAGCAGGCCAGGGCCCTTCATGGGCTGTAGTGCCACTGATGATGATGATGATGATGAGAACAATCCATCGAGGGTCCATAGGTTCAGGATCAAATAAATATGGAAGTCAATTTAAGTCAGTAGACGAAGTATATGTCTCTTGTTTAACACGTTACACCGATGCTCAAAGAATACTGCAGCGTGGACGTTCGGATCTGTACGGACCGGTATAAATGTGGTTAGCCGAGATCCACCGGGTCACTGAGGGTAGGAATTTAAATTAAATTCAGGTGGCTCACCTTTCCTTGCCGTCTTTCAGGATGTACTCCTGCAGGACCTCGTACCAAGACGCCAGGATCGGAATGCTCTCGGGCTGGTCGGCGGTGTAGACGTGCTTCAGGTAGGCGTACTCGTTCTGAGAGATGGATTAAACGGAAATGTCAGGTAGGGCAGATTCAGAGTCAAGTGTTTGAAATTGAGATGGACGTCGCAATAACTTGGACGTGACATCAGGTCAATTGACGGAAAGCCATGCTAATTAATTTTTACTGAATATTCTAGTTAATTCCTTTGAAGTTTACAGTTTTTCCACAATTGCTAAGGATTAAACAGAAATATGTTCACTCGAGTTAAACCCTACCCTACCCTCCAACCCCATCCCCACCCCTCCTCATCAACCATCCCTATCCCTGCCCCCTATCCTCCAACCCCCGCCTCCTAATAAAAAAATTCCGAAAACAAGTTTTCTTTTGCCACTTTTGTCCAATATTTATCTAAATTTAACTCACATGAAAGTTCGTTATATAAGGGTATATAATGGCATATAATGGTATATAATGATATAAAATGGTATATAATGGTATACAATCTCTATAATGGTACATGACATACGCATGATTGTTTTTGAAAGATGTGTGAAATGATAGGATTTATTAATAAAAGAATTTCCTACAGGTGGGACGTCGTTGCCAGAGAGGGGCTCGTCCAGCGACGTGTTGGCGCTCTCCACCAGCTGGGAGAAGGCGTCAATCCGAAAGCCGTCCACTCCGAGGTCAAGCCAAAATCGGAACGTGTCCTGACATGGAAAAAAATAGATGCAGCATGAAATCAAGTGATTGTGATCTATTTCATTGTTTACATAATGTAAAGGAATGATAGGGTTAGCTATCTATATTTTGTATTTTTTTTTTATACGTAACCCTAAAGGTAGCTGGTCATTGAAGACACCTTGTCTTGAAATGTAAGGACAGGTCACTTGAAAGAAGTGGGGGGGGGTGATCTGTGATCAGTGTTGTGAAACCAGACAAACAACCCCAATCACTGACCTTTATCTCCCACTGAAGGTTCTCATCTCTGTAATTCAGATCCACCTGTACGGTTGCGAACGCGTGGAAGTAATACTGACCACGCTCCTCGTTCCACTCCCACGCAGAGCCGCCAAAGACGGACAACTGAAGAAATACATGAGGCCAAGTTTTCAATGTTTTTTTTTACACAAATACAAAAATGGAAAAAATAATCACATAAATTATATGTTCCTCTTTAAAAGTTGCAGTCGGACAACTCGTTAGGAATTGAACCCTAAACCACGCAGTGAGGGAACCGCTGCAATCGATTTATATTTGTTCCCCGACCGTTTGTACAAGAGATTTTACTCTGACAACACGACGATGTCAACAGTTTTAATGCGATCCTTGCTCAGCAACCATGTTGAAAAACAGCGGGTTAAAAGCAGGTTGCGTTGTGCTCTCGAAGCATCGGTTAAACCTCTCACAGACAGGGTGTCGCAGTCTTGAAGTATTCGGGGAGCAGTTCCTTTCTTTCCTCTCCCAGAAAGGGGCGATGTGGTCTTCTTTCTTTCTATCCTCTCCCGGAAAGGGCGAGGCGACCTTGCAATATTTGGAGAGCAGTTTCTTTCTTTCTATCCTCTCTCAGAAACAGCGAGGCCGTCTGGAAATATTTCGAGAGCAGATTCTTTCTTTCAGAGGCGTAGCTAGAGTTTTAACGCCCGGGGACAATATCAATTTTCAATCGCCTCCCTTTCATTTTTTTTTTAAACTCTCACCCATTATTTTCAAAATAAAATAACAGCAAAGCACATTTTGGCACCCCTAGCTAGTATGGCTTGATGGACGTCTTTAGCTACGCCTCTGCTTTCCTTCTATCCTCTCCGAGAAAGGGTTATGATGTGGTCTTGCAATATTTGGAGAGCAGTTTCTTTCTTCCTACGTCCCAAAAAAACAAATGGTCTCCCCATGAGGTCGACACCCGGACTCACCCAATTGTTCGGCGGCACACGCGTGCCGTTGGCCAGCACCTTGCCGTCGCTCCAGATGAAGTAGTTGGTGTACTTGCCGTCGCGCTTGACACTTCGCTTGAACCACTCATGCTCAACACTCACGTGACCGGGGACGAAGTCTGTGATGAACTTGAGATCTGAAAGGGTAAAGTTCAAACACCGGTTCATTACCCTATCAGTATGGCTCATGGCTCAACGAGGGATGGGCTCTGAAGGGTGAAACATATTAATAGAGACTAGAGTTGAGAGGTCCTTTGTCGCTTAGCTCGGTTTATGACTACTAAACAACACAAAAATACGTCGAGCATCGGGTGCTATATCAAAATAAAGCTCAATATCTTAACTGATTTTAAATCCTAAATGAGACTTACAAAAATATATTCTTTTTTTTTTTGCTCTAAAAAATTCAAAATGAAATTTACATGCTTGATCATAAGACATATGCCGTAACAACATTATAAAAAAATCATATAATAATAAAACAGGTGCTATGACACATCGTCATATGATAACATCTGGGGAATTTATGATTTTTAAAAAACAAAAATCATTCCGATAGGCAGTATACTATTTAGCTTTGCAGTTCAGATGCTACAAGTTGTTTTGTTCAGGACCTGGTCTGCCCTGCAAACCACCACCCAACACACTCCATGGGAAAAAAAAATATTAAAAAAAATATAATAAAATACAACTAAATAAAAATGGGTACAAAAATGTGTCATAAAGAATACATCATAAAAAGTGTCAAGAATCTACATGTTTGACCAAATCAATTTATGAGGGTCTTGTCAATTGGACAGTAAATTAAACAAAATATCTACGATAGAATGGAATTTGCCTTCTGCACCCCCCACCCCCTTTCCGTAGTTGGTTGTTTACAGCGGGATTGTCTGAGAATATGCTTTGATTTTTGAATAATAGAGAGAAATAATATTTAGATTCAAGAAGTCTTTACGGATGACGGCGCTCATCAAGTATTGCTACGGGAGGTAACCCCACCAATTTTACAAACGATTTTTTGGTGCTTTTAAGTATCTTCCCTTTAGAGCAGTGATTCTTAACCTTTTTTGGAGGTACCGAACCCCACCAATTTCATATGCGCATTCACCGAACCCTTCTTAATAGGAAATATACAATTTAATTTTTTTTCTGATTTTTTTTTTGGATCTCCACCGAAACCCTGAGACTGACTCACTTAACCCCTTGGGTTCGATCGAACCCAGGTAAAGAACCACTGCTGTAGAGAAACCAATTGCGCTGTTCTTAAATGTCACTGTTATTAATTTGAGGGTGGGGGCAGGGTTTCTTTCAGCTATATCTCGGGGGGGCGGGTGCTGCCCCCCCTCCCCCCCGTGGAAAGCTAAGTTCCCCCCCCTGGAGGAAAAATATGTCCAACAATAAACCACCTGGCACTGCCCCCCCTCCCACACGAAAATCTGAACTGCCCCCCCCCACCCAAGGTAAAAATTCTGAAAGAAACACTGGTGGTGGTGGGGGGGGGTGCAACACGTGTTACCTCTGTTGTGGATCTCAGAAATCAAGTCTCTGAAGTCGTCAATGGAACCGAATATGTGATCGATGTCCTTGTAGTCGGAGATGTCGTAGCCGAAGTCCTTCATGGGCGATTTGTAGACTGGGCTGAGCCAGACGCAATCGATACCGAGATCTTTGAGGTAATCGAGTTCGGAAATAATGCCTGAAAAAGAAAAGATATTTAGTCTTGATTTGAAAGGCCTACTTTTTATCGCAATTTTTTTTTTCTAAAAGAATATAAGCAAAAAAAACGGAGATAGAGAAATGGACCCCGATAAGAAATTTTACTGGTCATCTTAGAAAGTCTCATAGCAATGTTCTTATCAATGAATTTGGGTCACTCTTATCTTTTTTTAATGCCTTGCATTGGGGAATTATCAGAAACTTTTAATCACCAAACGTTTAAACGGGATGAAAACAGCACCTGCTGATAAGTATTAAAAGGATTGATGTTAAACGAGCGCTCGGACCAACTGGTGCTGTCGCAATCAAGTTTATAATAAAATAAAACGCTGACAAAGATAGTAACAAATTTTTCTTTAAAAAAAATTGTTTTGTGTAGACCTCGACTATTGTTTCTTGTTTCTTCCAAAGCAACACTTTGAAAAAAAAAGTCAAAGATTTGACGAAACATTTGAAATTGCTTCAATGAAGCGACATTTGTTCCTAGTCATTCACACATAGCCAAAAGTTTGATAGAGCAGGTTCTTTAAAAACAAAAAAACAAAAACAAAGGAGCTAGCTGTTTTTGGATAAAAGATAACTTTGTTTCTTCCAAAGCAACAGTTTGAAAAAAAAAGTCAAATATTTGACGAAACATTTGAAATTGCTCCAATGAAGCAACATTTGTTCCTAGTCATTCACACATAGCCAAAGGTTTGATAGAGCAAAGTCTTTAAAAAAAAAAAAAGAGCTAGCTGTTTTTGGATAAGAGATAACTTTATTAATTTTATTTTTAACTTCATTGAGTACATGGCCCTTTGTCGGGGTAAAGAACTGCAAAAATGACTGAAATCTTATTTAAATAACTTACTTAAAAAGGGGGGGGGGGAAATTGATTTAGCAACAATGTACTGGAAGTGGTATTGAGGCCAATGCCCAAACTATCACTATATATTGTTAAATATCTCATTTGAGAAAGAAACTCTCCATGTGAAAGAACATTTTAAAAATTAATTCCAAACTTTATCATGGTTCAGCGGTTTTCTCGTTAAGATTTGGTTACATCACGCCTTGCTGTAAATACGAATTCTTTAATACCAGGGGGGGGGGCGTTTTTTTTGGACAGATATTACATCAAGTCATCTACTGCTGAAATGACATTTTCCTATCGAAAATATTTTGTTCATGAGCTTTTGTTTGCTTGTTTTGATTGGTAAAGGCGTTCGAATTAACAACCAGACGGTGACTTCGAGGTGTTTCGATCAAGTTTTCCACACTCCGCTTGGCAAGAGGTGCGCCGTAGCGGACAAAGCTAACTCTGATACTATTGACTTTAAGTATACAGACCTACCTCTGGTATCACAGACTGCAAGTCTACAGACCTACCTCTTGTATCGCTGACTGCAAGTCTACAGACCTACCTCTTGTATCGCTGACTGCAAGTCTACAGACCTACCTCTTGTATCGCTGACTGCAACTCTACAGACCTACCTCTTGTATCGCTGACTGCAAGTCTACAGACCTACCTCTTGTATCGCTGACTGCAAGTCTACAGACCTACCTCTTGTATCGCTGACTGCAAGTCTACAGACCTAACTCTTGTACCACTGACTTAAAGTCTACAGACCTACCTCTGGTATCACACACCTCAAGTCTACAGACCTACTTCTGATAACTTTAACTTCAAATCTACAGACCTATCTCTTGTATCACAGATTTTAAGACTACAGAACAACCCCTGGTATCATTGACTTCACGTCTACAGAACTAAATTTGGTATCACAGACAGCAAGTCTACAGACCTACCTCCGATATTGCAGACCCAAAGTTTAAAGACCTACCTCTAATGCCACCCTAAACAAAATTCACTGACCTACCCCTGATATCACCGACTCCATCACCGTCCGAATCCTTAAACGACCTGGGATAAACTTGGTAAAATATGGCCGTCTGCCACCATGTCAGATTCTGGGTGGTGTCCGGAGTCGCAATGGCGATGTCATCCTGCCTGGACACAAGACTTCCAGAGGTCGAAGCTAGAAGAACCAAAACGATTAAAGACAGCTGAAGAGATATGTCGGCTAGCGATGCCTTTACCATTGTGAACGCTTCAAGCACAGACGACGCGGTTCAAAATGCTCATAAAAAGTGCATTCGTTTTCTGTCTTTGGTTTTATATGTGTATTCTATTTGGAAGCATTATGGGTGCGCGAGTTCTTATCTCAAGTCCAGTTTCAGGGGCGCACTCTTTGTGCGCTTTCTGTGGCTTGAACTCCGACAATTCAATCCCCCCCCCCCCCCCCCATTGCAATAATACGTTGTTGCCGTTTGAGTTTCGGATGCATTTGAAAGGTAAGAAACATTACACTCATCACGCATGTATTTTCTCTTGGTATCCTAGTGTAATAAATTTTAAAAATGAGTTCTTCAAAAATTAAGCCATAGTCTTGAGCTCGACTCTCGCATCGGGAACAATAATTTTTGTCCCTGTTCCTATAAAACGACAGTACTTTGAACCAAAAAAAATGAAAAGTATACACTGATAAAGCTTATTATTAGTTATCAGAGACCGATTTCAAAACCGCCATCTACTATTACCCAAATTGTATACAAATTTTTTTTAGGATGTTCCATTGTTACCCAAGTTTGATCTAACTGTGATGTTCCTCTTATGCAGACACTGCAGTTTTGTCAAGCAGCTAACAAGCTATTTTCTCTTAATAATCTTCACGTAAATGAAAGAAATTTGGACCTAACAACGTAAGATAAAGCTAAAATGGGTCACGGTTAAATACAATTTGGGTTAAGGAACCACCACGAGGCTAACCGCCGCATTGTGGCATGGGTGGCGGATAGAAGGTCTTCTATAATAAGAGTAGGTTACCTCCGAATGACCAGAGAAAAAAAACAATGCAAGAGTCTTAAACTCCGTTGTTGTCTACTAGTCCCTACAAGGATACTATATAGAACTCCAGCCCCTACACGACTAATGTGTAGAACTACGTTGGTGTCTCCTAGCAAGACTGATGTGTAGAACTACGTTGATGTCCCCAACAAGACTGCTGTGTAGAACTAGGTTGTTGTATCCTAGCCTCTACAAAGATGATATATAGAACTCCAGCCCCCTACACGACTAATGTGTAGAACTACGTTGGTGTCTCCTAGCAAAAATGATGTGTAGAACTACGTTGATGTCCCCAACAAGACTGCTGTGTAGAACTAGGATGTTGTATCCTAGCCTCTACAAGGATGATATATAGAACTCCAGCCCCTACAAGACTGATGTGTAGAACTACGTTGGTGTCTCCTAGCAGGAATGATGTGTAGAACTACGTTGATGTCCCCAACAAGACTGCTGTGTAGAACTAGGCTGTTGTATCCTAGCCTCTACAAGGATGATGTGTAGAGCTCCTAACCTTTCCCGGGGTTATTGTGTTGTGTCAAGTCAAATAATGACCAGTCAGTTTAAAATAAACAGCATTATTTAACTATTCATATACTGAGTTAAAAACAGTCCACAATAACGACTAACCAGTTATTAATAACTGGCGTTCACCTTAGGAAAAAAAAAAAGGAATCTTCTGTCCACGATACAAAGAAGTACTCAACACATCAAAATATTAACTCATCACTACACTCTCAAAAAAACCAAAGTCCTCCGTCGTTCACCGAATCTACACACCCCCACCCCCACCCCCACCTCCCCCATGTGTTTTTTTCCAACTCCCCTCCACGGTCATTACACATGGATCATAGGCGACTGAGTAAAATTCTTGTAACAAATAACTACCGCATAACAAAAACTTCACAACCGAACATAACAGCACATCACGTGATCTGAATGTGACAGCCGAAGTTAAGTTTTTTTTGTTCATGGGGAAAAAAAAAAAACGATTTGGGCTTTGAATTTTTTATTTAAAGAGATTGTTTCTTTGGAAACCTGAAGTCCGAGTGATGAAGTCGCAGTCTTCATTCACTGACGATGACCATCAATACCCCCCCCCCCAACCCCCACCCACCCCCCATACTTCTCGTCAAAAGATTTCAGTCATTATGCAAGTAACGCAACCCAAGTGGCCAGAGATGGGGGTGGGGGGGGGGTGGTCGCGGGATGATTTCTGTGTTGCTAAGAAAAGAAACGAAACAAACTGATTTTTTTTTTATGGAGCAACGATGCCATCGTCGATACGACACAAACTTTATTTAACATCGACCATGGCAGCGTTGATCCGGAGAGAATGGGAACAAATCTGCGGATATGTTCATTTAGTCCGAGTCTACACAAAGCTCATTCCTGTGGCGCACGATCAGGTAGGAAAACAGATATTAATGACATAGATACTACTATAATACTATAGATAGATAATTACCGCACAGGAAGGTACTGCAAGTGTCGGAACCTGGCGATTTTAGACGTGTTTTTTTATATATATTTTTTTAATTGTCATCAGGGGAACCACTGAATCCCGAAGTTCTTAGCCAGTGATTCCACTACGCCAAATCCAGTATGTCTTAGCCAGTGATATCTCTACCACAACTCCCTTATTTCCTAGCTATTGATTGCCGTATCCCAGCTCCCGCATTACTTAGCCAGTGATTCACCTACACCATCTCCCGTATTACTTAGCCAGTGATACACCTACACCATCTCCCGTATTACTTAGCCAGTGATACACCTACACCATCTCCCGTATTACTTAGCCAGTGATACACCTACACCATCTCCCGTATTACTTAGCCAGTGATTCACCTACACCATCTCCGGTATTACTTAGCCAGTGATACACCTACACCATCTCCCGTATTACTTAGCCAGTGATACACCTACACCATCTCCGGTATTACTTAGCCAGTGATTCACCTACACCATCTCCCGTATTACTTAGCCAGTGATACACCTACACCATCTCCCGTATTACTTAGCCAGTGATACACCTACACCATCTCCCGTATTACTTAGCCAGTGATACACCTACACCATCTCCCGTATTACTTAGCCAGTGATACACCTACACCATCTCCCGTATTACTTAGCCAGTGATACACCTACACCATCTCCCGTATTACTTAGCCAGTGATTCACCTACACCATCTCCCGTATTACTTAGCCAGTGATACACCTACACCATCTCCCGTATTACTTAGCCAGTGATTCACCCACACCAACTCCCGTTTGTCTTAGCCAGTACCTGTTGAGTGTGCTACATGCTGACCTTTACCATTCAAAGATCAAGAATAGAAACATGTCAGACTTTGGTACTTGAGAATCTTGAACTATAGAAACACTTTATTTTAAAAAAAAAACATAAGTCGATAAGCAAGTGCCTTTCATATAATTTGGGACTGTACTACTTTTGCCTCTCCATAAGGTAACCTGGACTCCTGAAAGGAAATAAATGTTAGTCTGTGCTCTTAAGCAGAAAGTGAAGAATGCGTCCAGTCAGATTACTAACTATAGACATGACGTCTTGTTTGATATGGCTGCTGGCGGTGTCTTATTTGATAGGTTCCATTAAGGTGGGCTGTGACTCCGGTGTCGTGGTAAGCCCGCATCCCACCCAAAATTTATCTTGGTGGCAGACGGGAGTGGTGTATCAGATCTACCCCAGGTCATTCAAGGATTCGGACGGTGACGGCATCGGGGACATTCGAGGTGAGTTATGTTGGTGAGAAAAGGGGGGTAATGACAGAGGGTGATCACTGGGTAGATGATAGGAGTGATGACAGGAACGATGGCAAAGGTGATGATAGAAATGTTAACAGGGGTGATGACAGGAAGATGACTAGGGTGATAATAGGAGTGATGACAAGGGTGATGACAGGGGAGATGACAGGAGTGATAAAAGAGTTGATGACAGGAGTGATGACATGAATGAAGACATGAGTGATGAAAAGGTGATGACAGGAGTGATGACAGGTGTGATGACAGGAGTGATGACAGGATTGATGACAGGGGTGATGATGGAGTGATGACAGGATTGATGACGTGAGTGATGACATGGAGTGATGACTGGATGATGACAGGGGTGATGACAGGGGTGATGACAAGTTTGTTGACAGGGCTGATGACAGGAGTGATGAAAGATGTTATGACAGAAGTGATGACAGGATTGATGACATGGAGTGATGACTGGGGTGATGACAGGGGTGATGACAGGAGTGATGACAGGGGTAGTGACAGGGGTGATGACAGGGGGATGACAGGAGTGATGATAGGAGTAATGACAGGAGTAATAACAAGGGTGATGGCAGGGGGGTGACAGGAGTGATGAAAGAGGTGATGACAGGAGTGATGACAGGAGTGATGACAGGAATGATGACATGGGTAATGACAGGGGTGATGACAGGAGTGATGACAGGGGTGTTGACAGGTGGATGACAGGAGTGATGCCAGGAGTAATGACAAGAGAAATAACAAGGGTGATGACAGGGGGAATGACAGGAGTGATGAAAGAGGTGATGACAGGAGTGATGACAGGAATGATGACATTGGTAATGACAGGGGGGATGACAGGGGTGATGACAGGAGTGATGACAGGGCAACCTTACTTTTTTTTAATGGTGCGGTCTTTGTACACAGGCACAACCCTTTTTTTATTATTATTTTGAATACGAAAAAGCCAATATCTTGGAAAGTTAACAAATTATTATTTTTTTGTTTGTTTTGGTTTTATAAAATAATTTAATGTAAGATTATTATTATATTAAACATACCCATAGCAAGATCTTGGTCAAGTTGTTTTTGGTCAGTCGGGAGGCAACCATGACCACTTCAATCATCAGATTTGTGCTAGTTTGGTATGTGCGTGCTCAGATGTCTAATGAGGCCGATTCTGGCACGAAATTTTTTTGTGTGCAGTAGATGCTTGGGAATGTTGGGGCATCTCAGGGAGCAGAATCAGACCGGACATTCCTGGCATGTGTCTTGCACTGTGCAGCCGCTGTTCTGCTAACTTCATGTTGGATGGGGCTCCTGTGTAAAATGGAACGCCATGATGTTCGATCCTTTGCTTTTTCCTCCTACGTGTCTGGGTTTATGTCGAACGCTTTCAGTGAGGCTTTTAGGTTGTCTTTAAAACGTTTCTTCACTCCGCCAGCAGACCGCTTTCCATGTTCAAGCTCACCATAGAACATTCTTTTGGGCAGACGGTGGTCTGAATATTCTCACAACATGTCCCACCCAGCCAAGCTGGGACTGCATTAAGATGGTAAATATGCTGAGGAGATCTGCCCGTGCGAGCACCCCAGGGTCTGGGACCCTGTCCTGCCATGTAATGTTTAGGAATTTTCTGATTCTTGTTGCAGGAAAAGTGGTTCAGCATTGTTGCATGGCGTTGGTGGACCGTCCACGTTTCACAGTCATAGAGAAGCGTGGGGAGAACAGCCGCCTGATATACTTTCCGTTTAGTTTGAGTGCTTATATCTCTCCTGGTTCATTCGTTCTAAGCCAATTCCCCACAAGTTGTACTGACTCTCAATCATGTACCAAACACACCACGGTAAGGGTCTTAAAGTGTTTGTATGATTCTTGTATCTTTAGGCATCATCTCTGAACTCGATTACTTCACCTATCTCGGCATCGACTGCATCTGGTTGAGCCCCGTATGCAGATCCCCGATGAAAGACTTTGGGTACGATTGTTCCGATTTCGAGGATATCGATCCTGTGTTTGGGACATTAGACGATTATAAGACTCTGGTAGCCGAGGCTCACAAAAGAGGTTGGCCAGTGTCTGTAGATTAGCTTTAAATAAATGTAGAATATATGTAATTTATGAACAAGCAGTTCAATGTTGTTTTTTTAAACTGATGTTTCCTTCAATAATGCAATTTATATTTTAATTAAAGGTAATTACCCATTACTTTTTAAACAAATAATAGTTAAAGTGTAACTTTTTTTTTTTAAAGTGTGTATCTCCCCTAAATTGTATTACTTTTTATCTCCCCTAGGCCTCAAAATCCTGTCCGACTTCGAGTCCGTCTATTCCAGTGACCAGCACGACTGGTTCCAGAAAAGTGTGCGGCGTGAGGGAAAGTACACCAACTACTACGTGTGGGAGGACGGGCTACTACTCCCCAACGGGACTCGAGCTCCTCCCAATAACTGGGTATGTCTTTAGTTTAGTCTTTTGAGCTGAGGGCCAACTGGGTATGTCTTTAGTTTTGTCTTTTGAGCTGAGGGCCAACTGGGTATGTCTTTAGTTTTGTCTTTTTAGCTGAGGGCCAACTGGGTATGTATTTAAATTTAGTTTAGTCTTTTTAGCTGAGGGCCAACTGGGTATGTCTTTAGTTTAGTCTTTTGAGCTGAGGGCCAACTGGGTATATCTTTAGTTTTGTCTTTTTAGCTGAGGGCCAACTGGGTATGTATTTAGTTTAGTCTTTTTAGCTGAGGGCCAACTGGGTATGTCTTTAGTTTTGTCTTTTTAGCTGAGGACCAACTGGGCAATGAATACGAATACATGCTTGAAATCGGAAAAGAAAAGACAAAGCGCATTTTAAAAGTTATTTGAAATGCCGAAGAAAGATTGCTTTTTGTGACTATGAGTGTGACTGTGAGTGTCACTGTAAGTGTGACTGTGAGTGTCACTGTGAGTGTGACTGTGAGTGTCACTGTAAGTGTGACCCTGACCGTGACATTTCTGTCTTACAAAATTTCAAGTCTTACAGTAAATATTTGAGATATTACCTTATGTGTTCCAGTTATCAATATTTGGTGGTCCGGCCTGGCAATGGAATGACGAAAGGCGACAGTTTTACTATCATGTCTTCTTGAAGGAGCAGCCAGACCTGAATCACAGGGATGCCAATGTCCGGTGGGAAATGTTGGTAAGTCACGTGTAAATAGTGTGGGGAATGTTGGTGAGTAAGTAGGTCGTTGGAAATAGTGAGCGGCATGTTGGTAAGGTACGGAGAGATTCCTTTGAAGATGGGTGAGTACTATTAGTAAGCTAGAGATACATGCACATTTTGCCGATGTATGTACATGTTAAACAGTTATTATATATTCAACAATATTAGATCGAACATAATTGCAAATCAGAAATTCATGGATTTAAGATATGTAAAATTATGGCACATACCGTATTTTCGCGCATATAAGATGCACCCAATTATAAGACGCACCGTATATAAGACACGGGTCTCCGCCATTTGTGTATTATATATTTTATATGAGACGCACCCATACTTACGACCCACCCTTACTTACGACGCACCCATACTTACGACCCACCCATACTTACGACCCACCCATACTTACGACCCACCCTTACTTACGACGCACCCATACTTACGACGCACCCATACTTACGACGCACCCATACTTACGACCCACCCATACTTACGACCCACCCTTACTTACGACGCACCCATACTTACGACGCACCCATACTTACGACGTACCCATACTTACGACGCACCCATACTTACGACGCACCCATACTTACGACGCACCCATACTTACGACGCACCCATACTTACGACGCACCCATACTTACGACGCACCCATACTTACGACGCACCCATACTTACGACGCACCCATACTTACGACGCACCCTTACTTACGACGCACCCATACTTACGACGCACCCTTAGCATCAGTTTGGGGTTATATTCTGCGACGACGACAGAGAATTTGATTCACGTTTCTGTGGATGTGAAGACGAAATTGATGACGATGAAAATGGAGGTGAATAGTACAATATGGCGCATTGATTTTTGATAAATTCAAACATTATTTTTTCAAACAGTTTATTACATTTGTCTTTAATAAAAAAAAAATATATATATATATGATATAACTGATTTTCATATTTAAGTCCAATATTGAACAAATTCTTGTCGTGTTTTCGAACTATTTAGTCTTGTCTTGTTTTCGAGCACATCCACTAACTAACGCACATATTCTGGTGAAGGTCTGAGATTACTCTCTTATGACCCCGGCTAGTAAATTGGCTATCAACTCCATCTGTTGAGCTGAGCCATACAACATGTCCCTCACAAAGGATCCTCCAACCGCCCTGGCTTCCCCCGGGAGATCTAGTGCGGGACACTCCGTCAACAGATGTTCTAAGGTCTCTGGGGCCAGGCTGCAGTGCCGGCAGGTAGGATCTCTGTTGTTGTCCAACCTCCAGAAATATGTGCGCAGGGGGCAGTGCTCGGTGCGCATCTGCGTTACTAGACTCTGCACTCTACGACCTAACCCCCACCATGGGTCTTGTTTGCTAGGAGTAGGCAAGTTCGAATAGACGCCTCTGGCGGTCGTGTTGTCAGCCCATTGCCTGTACCACTTCTGCCTGAAGTGGTCCGCCAGCCAGTTTTTGACTCCCAAGAAAGTCATTGGTACTTCTGGCTGAGGCTGGGCTGCCCCGGTTTTCGCCAGAGTGTCAGCTATCTCATTGCCACTGATGTTGACATGCCCTGGTATCCATTGCATTTCAACCTTGCACCCTATTTCATCAAGTCTGCATATGTCGTTGTGAATGACGTCGACCAAGCTTGTGGTACCCTGTCTCTTCTCCAAGATCTCAAGAGCGGATCTTGAGTCTGAGAAGACGACAATATCGAGCCCCGCATGTTCCGTCCCTTCCAGAGTGATACGGACTCTCTCCAAGGCCTTGTGCATAGCTATAAGCTCCGCGTCAAAGTTTGACGCTGTAGTCCCACAAGGCCCGGAGAGTTTTTCATTGGGTGGTCCACCTACTGGGTACTGAATAAGCGCACCGTACCCAGCAGTTCTTTTCCTAAAGTCAGCAGAGCCGTCCGTGAACACTTTCACAGGTATGTGTGTGAACACATCCATGGTCTCAAGGGCAGCCACTCTCTGTACATGTTCAGGGCTTCGTTTCGTCACTGCTGCATCTGTCAAGGCCAAATGTATGGAGGGGCGTGAGGGTTCCGCATAAGGCGGATTAACTGGGATTTGGGTCAGGCGTTCTCTATTTGGGGGCAGGGGGACTGTCCTCTCCAGCTCCACGACCTGGTGCATGAAAGAGGACCTCTTTAGTCTCCTGCCACCCACCCAGTTATTTTGCATTTGAAAGGCTGGTTCATGTTCACCGAGCCGTCGGTACCTCTCTACGGTACACCCACTAAAGATACCAACAAAATATTTAAAAAAATCTTTGAACATAACCGCATGTATAGGTCATTTATCCGCCGTAGTTTTTGCTATGATAATTTACAACAATCAACAAAACAATTGAAACATACTATATTGTATCAATTTAAACTTGTTTTACGACTAAACTTAGATCTGCAATAATTGCGGTACACAAAACATTGAAACGAAAGGATTTTAAATCTTGAAGTGTCCTGCATTGGAGCGGTACACGTGGTCATTACTGAACAGGAACCCAATTATTGTTTTTACAAATAGGAATGAAAACGTGAATATCGACTGCTGTAATCGTCCTTCCATATCACACACTGTACCGTTTTTTTTTCGTCTTTAAAAAAATACCTACCGTATTTTCGCGCCTGTAAGACACACCTGCTTTTAAGACGCGCCCATATATAAAACGCTGGTTGTCGCGATTTGTGTCAAAAATAGTGTACATAAGACGCAACCATGTATAAGACGTACCCTGGGTGCGGGGGTTGTTAAAACTTTGTACAAGGCGCGTCTTATGTACCCGAAAATACGCGTTGCAATGTTAAATTCAATATGCTAATAAAATATTTTAATTAAATGTTTTATGTAGTGATAAACATACACAAATGATTGCTTGCAATTTTAAGCAAATTGTCACAGTAAAGCTAAATATCTATATCTATCTTTATTTGGATTCTCATAGTATACAACTCTACACTAGAATTTATCTTTGTTTTTTCTTTTTTTTTTTTAAATACCACAGTGCACTCTGCACTTGACTTATCTTTATTTGCATTGTCATAGTGCAACTCTACACTTGACTTTATCTTTATTTGAATGCACCCGTTCATGCTGCAGGACACACTCCGCTACTGGCTTGACCTGGGTGTGGACGGTTTCCGATTGGACGCCATCTCGGCCCTATACGAAACCGGGAATGTTACTCTGAATGAACCGCCGTCAGGACGAAATGTTCCTCATGTGGGTAAAAAATAAAATTGCCCTCCCTTGGATATGGAAAATCATAAGATACCTACATACAATTGATAAGATATCTATATAGATTTGATAATAAATCTATATTGAATTTATAAGATTTGTGTATGGAATGTATACGATAGCTTTATAGAATTTAAAAGATAGCTATAAAGAATGTATAATATATCTAATATGTAATACATGAATGTATAATATATCTATAATGAATATATATGTTATATATATTTAAGGAATTTTAAATATATCCATATAGAATTTAACATGGGGGGAAGTCTTATTTAATGGATCTCATCTAATTTAACAGGAAGATCCTGATTTACATTTCTTCAGTAAGCAACGGTACAAATACAACCACCCACAACCAAAAAGAATTTATTTTTTTTTAAAGTAACTTGGAAAAAAGTAATCAAATTATTCCGGCATGTGTCTGCTAAACTTAACAACCGTTTCTAAATGTCCTACTTTAGGACCAGGAGGACTTTTTAAATCACACCTACACACAAAATCAACCGGAAGTGTATCCAGACGTGACGTCATGGCACGAGCTGCTACAAGAATACAGCCGCAAAGATGGCAACGAAAGGTAAAAAAATGTCTCTTTATTTTTTAGTAACTAGTATATTTTTAGTTCTGTATGTGTACATTAATCAAGTTACAAAATGTTCAGTTCTGTATGTGTACATTAATCAAGTTACAAAATGTTCAGTTCTGTATGTGTACATTAATCAAGTTACAAAATGTTCAGTTCTGTATGTGTACATTAATCAAGTTACAAAATGTTCAGTTCTGTATGTGTACATTAATCAAGTTACAAAATGTTCAGTTCTGTATGTGTACATTAATCAAGTTACAAAATGTTCAGTTCTGTATCTGTACATTACTCAAGGTCCTATATTTTTATCCCATAATTTTAAAATAATTCAAATGCTAACAACATATTATATTGTTTCTTAATGTTTTAATATATATTCTATATATAATAATTAAACAAATAAAAAAAATAAAAAAAATAAAACTGGTTTTCTCAGATTCATGGTCATCGAAATATACGAAGGGACGCAAATCCGAAAAAAACTCTACGCCACGGGAGGTAATCCGTTCAACTTTGACCTCTTAGGCATGAGCAGAAATTTAACGGCCCGTGAAGTCTTTGAGACGGTCATGAACGAGTACGACAACCTGCCTCCAGGCAAATGGCCGAATTTTGTGGTTTGTCTTTTTTGACGTGACGTGTTCCCAACTGATTTGATACGCCCGTGTGGAGCATCAGTTGACAGACATTTTGTTTTTGTTTACAAACAGCACCATTGTTCTAGTATGATGGGTTAGTTGGACGCTAAGACCAGAGACTCAGCCACGGTTTGACATACTGTAACGAACGACCTGTACAGATCACCTATACAAGTTTAACTAAATCTAAGATAACATTAGATAAGATTAGAGACGATTAGACAAGGTAACAGTAGATAAGATAAGAGCAGATAAGATTAGATAAGATAAGATTAGATTAATAAAATATTAAATGAGATAAGGTTAAAAAGATAAGAATCGTATATGTCATCAGATAATATAAGATTGGGTAAGATAAGTTTAGATTAAAAATATGTTTAGAAAAGAAAGAAAAAATCATTTATGTTTAAATGTGATTAAATAATATAAGATTAGGCAACATAAGAATAAATGAGTAGATAATAGTAGAGCATATTATGAGATAAGATTTAGCTTGAGTTAGTCCTACTTACCATTTCTTGTTTTACCCTTGTGATTGTGTTTGTTGTCGAAATAGTATGTGTTAGTCCTTCTCTTTTTTACTGTTGTGTTTATAAAATGTGTTTGCAGTAGTCCTGTATTTGTGTCTGTTCTTTTATGTCTTTCTGGTTTTCTTTGTTATTGTTCGTGTTCTTGTACGTGCTTGTGTTCTTTTATGTGCGTGCTTCACTTCTATGTGCTTTTGCACTTTTATATACCGGTGAACTTCATGTGCGTATGCATAGACATGTGCACGTGCCCTTTTATGCGCTTCTGTGCTTTCACGTGCGTGTGTTATCTTATGTCAGTGTGCATGTCAACTTTTGTCAACATGTGCTTGTCAAACGTTTACGAGCTAGTCCACTTTTATGAGCGTGTGCCCTTTTAAGCACTTGTGTACTTTTATGTGCTTGTGTACTTTTATGTGCCTGTTTTTGTCCAGGTTTGAAGTTGTCTTCATCTCTTCCTGTTTTTTTTAAAAATATTCTGCCAGCTGGGTAACCATGACAGTCGGCGAATAAGTCATCTGTATGGACCACAATATGTCGATGTTTTCAACACACTGGTTCTCACATTATGGGGCACACCAACTACATATTACGGAGAGGAGCTGGGGATGTTGGAGGCGGACCTCAGATGGGACCAAACTCTGGACCCGTGGGGATTATTTTATGGACCGGTGAGCCCCCATTTTGATGTTTCTAGGAACTTTACCGACCCTTTGCGGCATTACGTTTACATGATGTGGTTTGCAAAAGTCAAGTAACGCAATAAAGCCGGCCGCCGTACTAACCATGAACACGATAATTCTAGAAATATCCTAGGAAAGGTTTTCATATCGTTAGTTTCAAACAATATGGAGATGAATATCAGAAAAGAAAAGTCTTTATTAATGCCTTGCCCCAGGACCAGATTTTACAAAAATTGTATAACATTGAGTTTTTAAGTAATTATTTCAAACTGGCTGTATTGTGTTTCATCATGTTTCATTTGTTAAGAAAGCAATTTGAGAACAGCTTATGGACCTAAATTTCTATCTACAATAGAGACTGGTGTATTTATCGTAAGTAAAGAAACGTTGAAAAGCAAAACTAAAAAAAACAACAAAAAAAAAACAACTATTGCAAGCGAAGCTGTGTCCCCTTGCTTGTCTCAGAGTCGCTACGATGAGTTCTCCAGGGATCCCGAGAGAACCCCCATGCAGTGGACGAGCGGTCCCCAGTCTGGCTTCACGACAGGGAACACAACGTGGCTACCACTGGCCACAAACTACACGACGCTCAACGTCCAGGTCAGTGACCCCTCCCCCCCCCCTGCCCCCAAGCTTTCTACTGCAGCATTTTAGCTCAACGTCCAGGTCAGTGACCCCTCCCCCCCCCCCCTGCCCCCAAGCTTTCTACTGCAGCATTTTAAAGACGCGCTCTAAGCACGGATTTTTTTTAGATATATAATAGCTCTTCTGTGTGTCGCCATTCAAAACAATGTTTCTTTAAACCTTACGAAAAGATATTGTAGTTTTGACCTTCAACATAAAATAGTACTCCAAAAAAAGCATTTATTCTTATCTGGTTGAGTTGGACATTTTCAACATTATAAAGTTCCTTTTTTAGTTGGTTCGCCTCATATTTCATAGATCTTCAACAGAACACATATTTAGGAATGATCATTTCAAAAACGGTATCTGTTCTTAATAGCTGAGCTGGGGATGATAAATCCTGTTAGATGAATTAGTTTCATCACATACCTACTTATGCCGTTTACCCCCGTCTGTGGGTATATGCCGTCTGCACGCATTTTCCAATCATCTCGGTTCTGTGCTTTCCTTTTCAGTTGCTCCCAGGTAAATTTTGTTGCCTCCTCAGAATCGAGCATTTAGCTTAGACTAAATAGTTTAACTGCACGTGTTTTGGAATGGGAAAATGGAGAATCAGCGAACCTTTGAAAAAAGAACATTCCAACATTCTTGGTTATGGGGATCAATGTCTAAATGAAAATTTAAAATATAAAAACATTTACCGAAGATGAACATTTTTTTGCTTTCTAATATTGAAAAAAATAAATTGCCAAAGCAGAAAAAAACGATTCATTAAAATTTGTTAATAAACAAAATATTGTTTAATGTTATTCGTCCTGAACAAATACCAAATGTTAAAGGTCAAAATATTAAAATGTATATTCTGACTTTAAAAAAAAAAAAATTCTGTTGATCTTAAAGGTCAAAATCCAAAGTTTATATATTTAACCTTTGGCCCAAAAAAGTTTTAGCAAATGAAATACTTAATGGTTGTTGTTTTTTTTTAAATTATAAATGAGGTTTGCATGTGATTCAAATAGACGGAGAAAGAGAGTAGCCAACAAACAAGTCTCAAACTGTACAAACAACTTGTAGCTCTGAGGAAGAAACAAGCTTTTCAGACTGGTGAATTTAAGGTGAGCGAAAGTTGATTAATAACGATTTCATCGATGTTTAATTAAAGATAATTAACATAATTATCGGATTTTAAAAAAAAAATTAACGATGTCAACAGTGGTAAGATAAGGATAATAAACATTTGTAAACAACAGATATCAATGCCTGCCTATCTGCCTACCTACCTGCCTACCTAAATACTTACCTATCTACCGACCGACCGACCAACCTACCTACCTAGCTGCTACAAGTGCTATATGTGTGATAATATTTTTTCAGGTTTAAAACATGTGTGAAAGTGACGACATTGTTGTGGTTAGTTGGTCTTTTCATTGTTTTTTTTTCCCCCCCCCCCCCCCCCCCCGCAACCAATCCTTTTAGTGGCTACTCTAAATTTTAAAGTTAACCCTAGTTACCGGTACGTTGCAAGATTGAAATTGGCCCATCAAAAGTAACACTACGTTCTTGTGTTGACTCCAACAAGCCTGCCATCGTCACCGATGACGTGTTCTCCTACTTCCGTTCGGGAGATTTCGAGACGTATTTGGTCGTGCTGAACTTTAGAGTGGAAGAAGTCAACGACTGGTCAACCTACGCCGGGGTTAAGGCAACAGCTGTACTCGTAACACCAGGTCAGTTTCATGGCATGATATATATATAATACTTCATTTAACTTACCGCCCTTCCAAATTTGATACTATCAATATAATATATTGATAGTATCAAATTTGGAAGGGCGGTAAGTTAAATGAAGTTTCTTGCGGCAGGCCTCATATATTTCAGTTGTATTTTGTAGCTTAACTTACGATCCATAACATCTTGCATACATCGATATTCTCCATGCTTCTTTCACCTGTAATCTTTAGGCCGAATTCATACAACAGTTTAGAATCATATTTTTTATTCACTTTGAACCCGTAGCTCTAGAAGTTTCACTATAGATAGATCATATTTACACTTGCGCTGTCTAGATGACCGCATTTTTTCTACTCTGTAATTTTCAATATTTACCTACAGGTGTCAAAGCTATTCAAGAAGGGCAAGAGGTAAATCTTCAAAATTTAAGACTTGGACCAGGAGAAGGCTTGGTGTTACGAGTGTCTACCACCACATCACCAATAATTGGATAAACGCCTTCAGTTGGATTCACCTTTTTTTTTAACCAGTCCAATTTAGCATATACTAAGACTTATCATTTATATCACTTTTATAGTTAGTACGGTCTCTTCATATTTTCAAAGGTTCCAAAAATACAAAGAAAACAACTTCGTATTCTGTGAAATCTTTGAAATATCGCCTAAGAATAAACGAGAGTTGTTGTGAAGACAGTAAGAGAAATACGAGAAAGAGTGTTGTTTCCTGTTTGAAGCAATAAGAAATATATTAAAGGATAGAGGACAAATCTAAAGAAAGGCCACTGCAAAGAAGTAGATGTGCACGTTTCGGACACCAGACATTTAGGAGTTGATTTGTTAGAAAATTGATGACTTAAGCAATTTACATAGTTTTTATTTGTTTACTTCATTATGACATAGCGCTGGATTGAAATTGCTTTCGAGAAATAAACATCATTTCCAGATCGTAGGAGAGAGAACTTACGATGTGCTCTACATCCCTGTTCTATCCACACAAGAGACACCCAAGATGCTATCCGTCAATGTTCTAGCCATGCCTCGTTCACGGCTTAGAGTAAAAAAAAAGTTAACAATTCCTAAAAAAAAACGTTCCACGTATAACTCACTTATAAAATGTAATATCGTGCAACGAGGAGTGGGGCTGAAAATACACCCAAAAAAACAAAACAAAAAAAAACAACAACATGCATACAAGTAACGCACTTTATAAGAATCCAAAATATTCCCCCACCTCCTCCCCCCCCAATCCCCTACAGGCATGGAAGCGCAAAACATTTCATACGCCATTGAACTGTATTAATATTCTAAATGACCGTCCCGCTTGTACACCGCAGATTTATTTCACCAACTATTGCAAAAAAAAAAAAAAAAAAAAAAAAAAAAAAAAAAAAAAAAAAAAAAAAAAAAAAAAAAAAAGAAAAAAAAAAAAGAAAAAAAAAAAAAAAGATAAAGCACCAGACGCACACGGGATATTTTTAAGAAGCGCATTGAGCGCAGTTATTGTATCTTTGAAAAAACGGGGAAAACTAAATATTTTGGGGGATGGGGGTTAGAGGGTGGGGGGGGGGCGGTAACAATTTTGAAAGCGCGTGTTGTCACATTTGCATCGAGTCTATGTATGCCACGTTTAAGCTCGGTGGGTCGACGGGAAGTGGGTCAGTTAGCCATCCGGAGATTTTAGCCAGCCGGCCATGTACAAAAGCTAAGTTAATATAATTGATATCAAAATGTCTTTTAATGAACAAGCATTGGTTAATCGAAACCTAAGGTTAACTTTTTAAAGAATACAATTTATTACATCTCAGGGAGGTAACATAGTCGCATTCGTTGGAAATAAAATTATTTATGTGGCCGTGCCTGAAGCGTATTTCGTTTTTTTACATATCCTAAAGTCTACCGATACTCTTTAAATGTGTCATGTGACTGAAAATAAGACGATACAAATTCTATATGAAGCCGTGTCAAGATGAATTTGTCATCAATGATGAATTTCAACATCGTAACTTTCAGCTAATGCCGTCATCAAATATTTCAATTCTTTATTAGACCATCGATTGTCATCCATTGTAATCCTTTGTCATCCATTGTCATCCATTATCATAAATTGTCATCCATTGTCATCCATTGTCATTCATTATTATCCGTTGTCATTCGCTATATCCGCTGTAATCCACTGTCATCCACGGTCATCCACGGCCATCCGCATTCATCGACAGTCAATCACTGTTATCCCCGGTCATCCATTGTCATCCGTTGTCATTCTTCGTCATCAATTGTCATCCATTGTCATCCTTTGTCATCAATTGTAAATCTTTGTCATCCATTGTCATCCATTGTCATTCTTTTGTCAACCATTGTCATCCATCTTCATCCATCATCCATTGTTATCCATTGTCATCCCTTGTCATCCATTGTCATTCATCGTCATCCATTGTCATCCAATGTCATCCATTGTCATCCATTGTCATCCACTATCGTCATGTGTCGTACATTGTCGTCCATTGCCGCCCATTGTCATCCATCGTCATCCATCGTCATCCATTGTAACCCATTGTCATGCGTTGTCATCCGTTGTCATATGTTGTCATCGGTTGTCATTCGCTGTATCCGCTGTAATCCATTGTAATCCATTGTCATCCATTGTCATCCATTGTCATCCATTGTCTTTCATTGATATCCATTGTCATCCATTGTCATCCATTGTCATCCATTGTCATCCATTGTCATACATTGTCATCCATCGTTATCCATTGTCATCCATTGTCATCCATCGTCATCATTGTCATCCATTGACAACCATTGTCATCCATCGTCATCCATCGTCATCCATCGTCATCCATCGTCATCCATCGTCATCCATCACTATCCATCGTCATCCATCGTTATTCAGCGTCATCTGTTGTCATCCATTGTCATCTATTGTCATCCATTGTCATTCGCTTTATCCGCTGTAATCTACTGTCATCCACGGTCATCCAAGGCCATCCGCAGTCATCGACAGTCAATCACTGTTATCCCCGGTCATCCATTGTCATCCATTGTCATCCATCGTCATCTATTGTCATCTATTGCCATCCATTTTCATCCTTTGTCATCCATTGTCATCCATTGTCATTTGCTTTATCCGCTGTAATCCACTGTCATCCACGGTCATCCAAGGCCATCCGCAGTCATCGACAGTCAATCACTGTTATCGCCGGTCATCCATTGTCATCCATTGTCATCCATTGTCATCCATCGTCATCCATTGTCATCCATTGTCATCCTTTGTCATCCATTGTAAATCTTTGTCATCCATTATCCTCCATTGTCATTCTTTTTTCAATAATTGTCATCCATCATCCACTGTTATCCATTGTCATCCATTGTCATTTATTGTCATCCATTGCAAACCTTTGTCATCCGTTGTCATCCGTTATCATCCGTTGTCATCCGTATCATCATTGTCATCCGTTGTCATATGTTGTCATCAGTTGTCATTCGCTGTATCTGCTGTAATCCATTGCAATCCATTGTCATCCATTGTCATCCATTGTCTTCCATTGTCTTCCATTGATATCCATTGTCATCCATTGTCATCCATTGTCTTCCATTGTCATCCATTGTCATCCATTGTCATCAATCGTCATCCATCCTACCATCATATCATCCTACCATCCTTCCATCCTAACATCCTACCATCCATCCATCCTACCATCCTACCATCCTAAAATCCATCCTACCATCCTACCATCCTACCATCCTACGATTCTACCATTCTACCATCCTACCATCCTAATATCCTACCATTCTACCATCCTACCATCCTACTATCTTACCATACTACCATCCTAACCCTTAACCTAACCCTACCATCCTACCGTCCTACCATTCTATCATCCTACCATCCTAACCCTAACCCGAACCCTAACCCTAACCCTAAACCTTACCCTAACCCTAACCCTAACCTACCATCCATCCTACCAACATACATCCTACCATCCTACCATCCTAATATCCTACCATCCAACCATCCTACCATCCTGCGATCCTAACCCTATTCCTAAAACTATCCATAAACCTAACACTATCTCTTACCCTAACCCTAACCTTAACCCTAACCCTAACCTAACCCTAACCATAAACTAACACTAACCCTAAACCTAACAATAACCCTAACCCTAAACTTAACCTACCATCCTACCATCAATCCTACCATCCTACATTCTACAATCCATCCTACCATCCTATCATCCATCCTACATTCCTACCATTCTACCATCCTATCATCCTACCATCCTACTATCCTACTATCCACCCATCCATCCAACCATCATACCATCTTACCATCCTACATCCTACCATCCTACCAGTCCACATTCCACCTATCCATCCGTCTATCTATTTATCTATCTATCCATCTATGCTTCTATCCATCAATCCATCCATCCATTCATCCTACCATCCATCCATCCTACAATCCTACCATCCTAACCCTATCCCTCACCCTAACCCTAACATTCACCCTAACCCTAACCTACCATCCTACAATCCATCCTAAAGTCCTACATCCTACCATCTTACCATCCTACTATCTTACCATCCTACCATCCTAACATCCAACCATCCTAACATCCTGCCATCCTACCATCCTACCATCATAAATATCCACATGTCCACCTATTCATTCATCTATCCATCTCTCCATCTATCCATCTATCCATCTTTCCATCTATCCATCTATCCATCTATCCATCTATCAATCTATCCATCTATACATCTATCCATCTATCCATCCATTCATCCATCCATCCACTTTTTACCATTCTACCATCCTGCCATCCTACCATCCCACCATCCTAACATCCTACCATCCTGTCATCTTACCATCCTACCATCCTACAATCCATCAATTCTACCATCCTACCATCCTACCATTATACCACCCTAAAATCCTACCATCCTACCATCCTAACCCTAACCATATTCTTAAACCTAACCCTTACCCCAACCCTAACCCTAACCTTAACCTAACTCTAACCATAACGCTAACCTTAAACCTAACCAACCATCCTACTATCCATCCTACCATCCTAACATCCTACCATCCTACCAATCTACCATCCTACCATCCATCCATCCTAACCCTAACCCTAACCTAACACTAACCATAACCCTAACTATAACCCTAACCATAATCTTAACCTAAACCTAACCATAACCCTAACCCTAACCCTAACCTACCATCCTACCATTTATCCTACCATCCTACATCCTAGCATCCTACTATCCTACCATGCTAACATTCTAACATCCTACAACCCTTCCATCCTACCATCCTACCATCCAATCATCCTATCATCCTGCCATCCTACCATCTTACATGACCACATGTCAATCTATCCATCCGTCTATCTATTTATCTATCTATCTATCCATCTATCCATCTCTCCATCTATCCATCCATCCATTCATCCACCCAATCTTTCATTCTACCATCCTACCATCCTACACTCCTAACATCCATCCATCCTAACATCCTACCATCCTAAACCTAACCCTAACCATCCTACCATCCTACCATCCTAACCCTAACCAAACCCTAACCATAACCTACCATCCTACTATGCAT